CTACTACTACTAAGCCCCTTTATTTTTTGAATTTTCTTTTCCTTCTTTTTTTTTCTTTCATGAATTTGTTGATTTTCTATACTTTAACATGAACTCTATACTTTTCTTATGAAAAWTATGAATAATTATTAAGGAAATATGGCTATGGTACCAAGGAAACTATCCTAGGATCTATTTTTTCTATAAAAAAAATCCATCGCCTAGGCACCCACCTCACCTAGTCAACTAGGCGAGGTGCGCCCCTGACGCCCAGCCTCGCCTTGGCACCTTGAAAACTATGCTTGAATCGGGTCAGAGACACTCATCCTTGGAAAGGTATAACCTCGATTTACACTGATCTTTGGTGGGGCAACTCAACCTTGGCCAACTCCTTCCCTCGCCTTTTCAGCCTTAGCACAAACCAAGAAGCTCTCATATCCCAGGTTTTACCCTCTCCCCCCCCCGTCTCATTTCAACCGGAACTTAACTCTTAGGAGACCACACCCTGAGAGAGGTATACCTCTCCCAAAATTCCCCTGACCTTCGTGTGTGGACCCTTCACCCAGCTGGTAAGTTCTCAACCAAATCTTGCTTCAAGGCTTTAGTTAGGGAAGAACAAATCACTGATCAGTACCCCTTCAAGAGAATTTGGTGCACCCATATCCCTTCCAGGGTCTGTTTTTTTTGTGTGGGAGGCCAGCTTAAAGAAAATCAACACTTATGATCTCCTTCAGAAAAAGAATCATGGAAGGTCATATTTATCCCCTCATGTATGTTGCTTCTGCCTTAAAGCCGGGGAATCCACCAACCACATCCTGCTTCACTGTGAGGAAACCAGAAAATTTTGGAACTTTTTCCTAACATTATTTGAGTACAGTTGGGTTTTCCCAGAACATGTGGTTGAATGTTTAGGACAATGGACAGGAAGAGGTTTAAGCAAAAGAGGGAAAACTTTATGGCAATCTGCTGCACATGCTATATTCTGGAGAATTTGGGAAGAGAGAAATAACCGGGTGTTTAACAATAGAACAAAAAACTGTGAGGAGCTTATTTCTTTAATCTGTTTTAGATGCTTCCTATGGACTTCCAGCTCAGATTATTTCAGAGATGTCACGGTTGCTGACCTCCAAAGAAATGCTGTAAATCTTCTTCACTCTAATCACATACACCTCTACACTTCCCATAGTCTCAGAGTTGCTGAGGAAGGGGAGACAACTTTGTACTTTGATGGGAGCGCTTTCGGAAACCCAGGTGCAGCTGGTATTGGAGGTGTAATTAGAAGAAGAGAT